AATCCTGATATTTGGATGGTGCTTCCTTTGCACTCTTAATTTCGGCTTCTTGAGAACCGCACTTGTCCTTGCAACAAGTGTGTGCTTCTCGAGTCAAGGCGAGTCAAGTCAAAATAAGCTTTGTGAACCCTAACGGGTTCATTTTCAACATTTACACTATTACTGCGGACATCTGGATGGTGATATCAATGCACATACTTGGAAAGAAAAATAGGAAAGTGCACGACTGTGGCTGCAACAATCTCTCGCGCAGCATGTTAGTGACTTTCGTTGTGTCAACAAGCAAACGTGAGAGATAAGACAAGACAGTATTACGATAGGATGACCGGTGGGATAAAAAAATTCTGAATATCGATCTAGTAGAAGAGAAAGAGAGCATTTCGGAAAGATCATTATAAAGTGGATGAACTCGATCAGTTGGTAGCTTAGGAGAAAAGCCATAGCAGGTATCAAGATGGCTAGAAATGATCAAATCAACTAAAGAAGCTCCGGAAAAGCCGCTGCATCTAGCAATGTGCTTTGTAGGTCGCACTTATAAGATCTTGTCTTTCTGAAGCAGTTCAGGAAAAATGCCAGGAGAGTTGTTTAACCAATGGGGAATAATGCAAGTGGTCACAGTCCTGAATATTAAAGTACTGGGTACTGAAAACATCTTAAGTCTGAGGGCATTAAAAGAACGTTTTATGACCTTCTGAAAAGTTGTACAAACTTACGTGAACCAAGAATGGTTCTGAGACAAGAAGACGCCGAGATACTTGACGGTGATGGAGCTGGATATGGGATTTCCATTCACAGTAAGGGTGGGAGAGATATCAATGAGGGACTGCAACTCATCACCACGGAGCGAAGAAACTATTAGCTCACTGCATTTTGAAGCATTAAACTTAAGAGGTCTGGATGAAGACCATCCCACTAGATCTACCAACCCACGTTGAAGGGATGAGGAATCCTGGTTAGTTGTTTGCCATACATTCCAGCACAACATCATCAGCATATTTACACCCTATAAACGTGGGTTGTATAGGGAGATGTTCAACATACATGGATAATAGAAAAGGTGATCAGATCGCTCCCTGTAGAACACCGCAATTGGCACGGAGGACAGAGGATTTCTTACCGTTCAATTTGGCGTAGTGAGTACGATCTGTAAAATAGTCGCGTAACAGATTACACACACCAGGGTGAGCTCATTTTCGGATGGTAGGTTTAGCAATCTTGACCTATTTAGGCTTCCAAATGCATTCGAATAATTCAGAAAGAGCAGCCGTACGGATTTCCATTTTTGATCTAATGCAGAGGCTTTAGAATGAACAAGATATATCACTCTGTCCAATGTGGAACGCCAGAATCAATAAGCAAACTGGTAGATATCGTCCCCAGGAGCGGCTGGGAAAATCCGCGGAATTAACACGCTTACGTAAACTTTTAGGAGCACAGATTTATGTGTAATCAGGCGACACTTTTGTAATCCATTTTTTTCGTACTGGCTTTATACTAGCCGTTCACACCCACAGTGTGGGAGAATCAGCACACTCCTTCAGACCTAATGGTAAGAGATCATCCGGACCGCAAACTTTGTTTGACTTTACTTTTTCGAGTTCCTTGTGAACGTTGCTTTGATCGGATGGCACATTTGGACTTCAGCTAATGAAGAAGGGCAAGATATGTGAGCTTTATGAGGCGGGACTCCACTCATAATTTACTTTATCCAAATTCACTTTACCGCTCTGGCTGCAAACGCTCTTGTCACGGAGCTGCCTCAGAAGCGTCCATAGATCGCGACAGTTATGATTGCCTAGAACTGCTTCGACGTATAATTGGTTTAGCCACTTTATCTTGGATTTAAATGCCCTGGTTAGGTTTTTGACACGGGTAGCATTCTAATACTTGTAAGCCCATGCTTTCATTCTTCGAAGTCGCTTTAGTAGTGGTGATGAAAATCTATCTGCTCCTAGATATATCGTTTCGACAGGACAACACATGTCAAAGCAATATTTGATGTAGTCCGTAAGATGGTCACATTTGAGCGATAGGTCCTTGTCGTTGAAAATCGAAAATCAGTTAAAGAAAACATCGTCTGGAGCCACGTGATATTTTCCAAAGAGCAATTTCAGCGTTGGATAATCTTGTAAGGACGTCTGGTTAGCGTTAAAAAATTAGACCTCCTGTATATGACTGAACATAGTTTTAACATACAATGTTCTGAGCTGCTCAAAGGTGCCCACTTTTGTGTGGCAAACAACTGTTGTTTATTTGTGAACACAGCGTCCAACTGGGCATCTTGTCTGGTCGAAACAGTCACTATATCTACCAAGCCCCAAGAATGTTGTATCCTTTCTATTGAAGGCCCCAGCAACCATACAGATAGAACAACCTTATTTAAGCAGTAGCGTTGAAGAAACTTGGTCCTCAAAATGTTTTAACTCTGATGCAGATATGTCAGAATTAATGTATGCGTTTCCGGCAATGACTGATTGAAGTCACTTAATAACTTCGGTTTGCATCCAATTAAATGGCAGCTTATAGTGATCGTTGAGTATGTGAATATTACGATTACTGAGTTACACCAACGTTGATTAACGTAAGTTATAACACCACCACCACGAAACTGGGGCTTTCCGGGGCGGTCAGTCCTGATGGCAAAATAACAACCGAGTTGAATTATCCCATTTTCCATATCACTATGCAACCAGCTTTCTTGTAACAGAGTACTTCCTGTATTCTCATGCTCATCTCGCTGCATAATAGCACTAAGATCATTAATTTTACCAAGAAGCGAGCGCACATTACTGGAAAGTATCAGTGGGACTTGCGCTTTATCGATGGAACAACGACAGGCCAGATTGCCAGCCAGCAGGATGGTTTCACTTTTTTCCAAGACGTTTATTCCTAATTTGTTTGAAGATGTTCCTAACTGTATACCCGTATTCGATGAAGCGCAGATATGAGGCAGTAACGCGTAACGTTTTCAAATGGTTGACGGAGTAAGACAACATTGACCTTGAGACTCCGTCATTATTACTCGTCGTTCTAGTTTACTTATCTTACTCGCATGCCCGAACACCCTTCATCACATGGAGATTTGCCCTTGTTCCTTTTCTGTGAAATTAATTCGACGAAGTATGTCTGAGGCTTAGCCTTCAAAGCAACAACGCCAAGAGAATAGACACTGTTGACTAATCTAGCATTGTGTCCGGTTGAGTACTTGTTTGCACGAATCATAACCTGTGTTACATATGCAATTAGACGCAGTTAGAAGGGAATTAAAGCTGTCTCACTGATACGACTCCATCCAGAGGCTTTTAATAGTCGCCCTTAAATCAGAATCGGAGGTAAATTGCTCAGTGTTAGGATTAGCTTTAACCCTTTCTAGGTAGTTTTTCCCTTCGGTGATAGTATCGCAATGTGCGCTACCCTGGTGGTTTCACGTTACAAATCAGAGTACGTCTCTCTTGCGCATCTGTCATACGACGGTGGCTCCGCAAGGTCTTTTTCGTCTACTCGAATTGTCTCTGTCCGCTTTACGTTTGCAGCGCTCATATCCGTGGAGAATGAATCGCGCTTTATCACAGCCTGTTACTCTGTCGCGGTGGCTACCGCCATCGTGGTCCACTGGTCTTGCTGACTCGAGAGAGAAGACCCACGGGTTCTCTTCCCCAACCGAGTTTATGGTTCCTGGAGGGGCGGAACGGCTGTTCAGTGTTTTCTCTTTCTTACGGTCGTTATCTGACCTAATATAACTGTCGAGATTTGACCCAGTCTCCTGCTATATGCCCTAGATATTTTTGTTCCTTTTAATTTTCTCTCGAGATAGCTCTTTTTCATCGTAAGAGTCTCGTATCACCTCTGATTCCCATCGTGCTGTTTTTATTTTCAGATTTGGCTCCGAGCACCCCTATGCAGGATACGCCGTACGTTGTCGTTAAAACTCTTACCGCTGACGCTAGCGTGGAAACTGAGGCGAACTTTCTACGCGAGGCCGAAGTACTCGTAGAACTATCGCACGGAAATATCATTCGTTTGCTTGGTAAGCAGTGGTATGGTTTGTAACACTGCATTCTGAACTCCATGTTTGGGTTTTCTTCACTCTATTTTGTTTACATATGTCACCTTTATTTTGCATCGTATTTTCGTCCCTCTCACCTTGCTGTAGGATGCGACCGTCTCTGCACATATTTACTGGATGTAAGCATGGCACATTGTTATCTTACCTTTTATCGCGTTAGCGCCTGTAAGCGTCGTTATGAAAAGGCGTTCTTTTCTTCATTCAAGTTAATTGCAGGCTCTCCGTGTTTTTGTAATTGATGAAAATTCACTTATTTGGGTTTACAGAGTCTATTTGGATTTGGCTTGACCAGCACTAACCTCTCGATCTACACTACCAAATGTCAGCTTTCACTGCCAGACTGATTGACCCATCGCGTAACTAAGTTAATTGCTTCAAGGGTGTTTTATGTGTTTTAAAAAAATTGCTTTTGCACCTAGTAGGGATAACTACTCATATCTAACATACATACCTTTATCATCGATTGCAAAGGGTTATCAGTTGTGACAACTATAGACACAGTGGAGTTTTCACCGGTCACTTTGCGATCACATCTCTGAGTCACCATTTTAATGCCACATAATTCGCACTGTACTATAGCCAAACCACGAACGCTAACCCGCGGTCTGTCAACTACTGTGAATGGGTTTCACAGTAGACCGAAGGAAATTGGAGGAGATCGGTTGTCCAACTGTGTGTTGGTTCGCGTGCTGTTATGTATCGTTGGCTCAAGTAGGGAGAGATGATGCTTGGGGAATGGTTTCCTCTCTGCTTTTCTGAATGTTTCATTCGCACGAAATGGTCGCGTTGAATCGTAGCTCATAATGGATCCAAGATACCTCGCAAATGTGCAAAGTTATCAACTGTCCATACACGTGGATCTGAAGGAAGTTATTAGGTAAGCGCCGGTGCCGAATTTCTCTGTGAAATAACAAGGTACTTCGTTTCATTTTACATCACTCGGTGAGAAATGACTACATTTGAACCAAGCTGTGCGTCGTTCGAACTGGCCTGTGATATACTCGAGAAGACTAGGATCCGCCATCTGACTCCCAAGATCACATTATCAAAATCATTAGTAGTCACAAATTCGGCCTCACGTTCTTCAAAGGTCATGCATAACTAGCTGTTGCGCAGTGGAAGTTGTGACCTCTGAAGTCCAGCCGGTATCCTCTGCAATGATAGAAACCTGCGTAGCATTTGAGGGTAGGTCATACTATATCCCAGTTAGCTTGCAAGTTGTGACAATCTGCCACCAACCCTCCTGCCTCAGTAACCTAAGCTGTTTGATAGCGTGGACAGTCACTGTCCTCTGCAATGTTAGAAACCTGTATAGCATTTGAGGATGTGTCATGCTATATCCCAGTTAGCTTGCAAGTTATGACGATTTGCCACCGTCCCCCTTGGCTCGGTGGCATGAGCTGCTGCGCATGCAGCTAACGTTCATGGGTTCGTTTCCGGAGGGCGAGCGCCATTGAAGGACCCGAATAGGTCGAAACGGAGCCTGGTGCTTTTCCGTATTGGTGGTTAAACTATGTGGCTTTTGAGCTGCTGGGACGAATTAGTGAAATTTCACTGGGACCGTTTCTTCAGGAACAAGTATCAGACAAACATATGTGGAAGCAAGCGGTAGCCTCAGCTAGCTACCTACGATGAGTGCCATATAGTTTTTTCGCTACACCACCTAAACCAAATGTGTGTTGTACTGAGTTGTTCTTTCGCTTTTAACACCTTTCCTTTCCAAATAAATCATATACTGTTGTGAGGCGGTTTTGTGCCTGGTAATGCTTTTGTCAGTATGTTGGTAGTGCTTGAAGGGTCATCCGTATATGAATGAACACATAGTGCTGTACAGCCCATTGGATTTCTGTGAACAATTAAAAAGCAGAGCAAGACGCAGATTTTTAGAAACTGCCTTCCTCAGTACTAAATCACAAGCGCCACTTTGCCGTTTTTTTCGTTTAATCCATTGATTCCTTTTCTATAGGCCTACTCACGACTGCTCGCTATACGCCAGTCAACTGTACTATGTGTACTCTGCTCTCCCTGTCGTTTAATGGAAAAATCTTACCACTTGCATACTCCTGTGCAAGATTCCGGTCATGGTTGCATCCACGGTTGTTGACTTTACTCGGCACGTATCACGCCTAGCTTCTGTAGCCTGCATCCCGGCTTCTGTGTTGCGTTTATATAAGCTGGTAGTTATCTCTTCCCGGTAGCAGAGACGTTTTATGTCCACTTTTCATCCTGTCTTTTCACATGGCTTTTGTATTACTTTCTCCATGCACTCACAGTTGTGGATTTAATTCTGTGCATGTGCACCTCCCTAATCTGAAGGTGCCTTTTAGTAATCGAGTTGTTCCGCCATTTTTACTTACTCATGCGTTGTTCCCTTTGATTTTTCGTGTTATGTTGACCGATTGCGCTAAAGCTAGTAGATATGTGAACTTCTCTCCGCATGCATATGAATGCGATTGTTTCCATTCTCCTCATGTAACCGATCAGGTGTTTGCCTTCCACTGAAACCGTTGTCTCTTCTGCTGGAGTACATGCCATTTGGAGATCTGAGCTCGTTCCTCAAACATTATCAACACTCCACTGAGACGAGTCACATGTACCCGCTTCATTTAGTGGGTTCGCTTCTTGCGGGAGTCAATGGAGAGATTGCTTCTGGGCTCCCTTCGGCCGCAGAGACCGTCTGTCCTGCCCTCGCCGGGGCCCATGAGCAAAAGAAGTCACTTTGGCTCCCTCCAGCTAACTTGCATTGCACACATTTGCTTACAATGGCTCGGGACGCATGCGAGGCTATGGTATATCTGAGCGACAACTACTACGTGCACAGGTAAAACTCCTTTGTTTGTCATTTTTCTCAAAACATTTGTCATTCTCCAAAAGTGGCAATCGTTATTCTAATTCAATCCTCTCATTCTGACTGTGCCCTTCAGACACAATTTCCATTCCACTACTCCCAATCATTCGCAATAAATTTCAAAACTCCTGATATGTAAGACTCTTATGACTGTTATTTCTTGATATCACATAGCTCAGTGCACATACCCTGGTATTCTTTTGAGGCTATTTGTCTCTAAAGGTCGCTCGCGAACCTAAGTTAGCTGTTCGTTAGATCAGTCTGAGTGCGAAAACCCGCCTAATCACTATATCGAGTGTCGATTTTTCTCCCATTCCTAACGAAATTGTTCGAATGTGGGTCTGCATCGTAGCAAATGGCCACTGGCTTTGCAGTAAATCTGACTACCGGTGGCTCGGGTTGGCGGTTGAAGCCTTGATCCGTTCTCTTGATTAAGCAATCTGACTGTGATCAAGTTACTTAATTCGGATAGCGAATAAAGACTTCTGCCAGTGGTTTTGATACTTCGATTCGTGTCCTCCTCAGGTTTACGCATAATGTTCGCTAACACCGTTGCTCCCACCACATCTTTTCATGGCCGTCTATCTGTGCCTTATTTTATTACCCTTGGTGGATTCGCAGTAATTTCACCCATGAACCGAGGCTTTTCTGTTTGTATTACTTTGCGCCTTTCATACGTATACTGTTTTAGTAATCACGACAACGGAGCGTTAGTATGCATTTTCTATCTTCCGAAAGTAATATGTTCTTCTTATCTCCCATTTTCCGATCGATATACGTTATGCACCACAGTCGAGATTATGTAAATCCTTTCCCATCATCCTACTGAGCGAAAGTTGGTAGTACCCACCTTCCCATATCTGATCCGAGCGGCAAGTGCGATCGGATTGACTACACATGCCTCTGTTCGTGCTACTGTAATACATGGAATTAGGTGTTGGTACTTACCACTGTTCGTTGAATTTGCCGCTCTGTATCCGCAATCATTTTTCTTGTTTTCTCTTACCTTTATACAACTCATCTGTGACTTCGTTCTTGTCGGCCTCCTGACCCTCTTATCTCGTCTCTATCACCTCCGTTTCACAGGGACGTTGCCACTCGTAGCTTCTTGGTGGGCAACAATATGATCATCAAGTTGGCCGACTTCTTCATGTGCCGACCAATTCAACCCAATGTGGATTTCGTTGCAGCGGAGGACATTTACTTACCTATCAGGTGGCTCCCATTGGAATCCATTCTGCATGGTCTGTTTCACGTGGATACGGATGTTTGGTCCTTTGGTGTCTTCCTTTGGGAATTGTTTACTTACGCCTCTGAACCGTATACTGACATGAGCCATGCAGAGGTGAGCGCTCTCCCCACTTTCTTCGTTGTTATCTACGTTCCGTTGGTATTCGATGCTTGTGATTCAGATGGAATCGGTTATCTTTAATCTACTTTTCCATTGAACACGCGGATCTTTCCTTTACTGATGATCATACTGGTCGATGTTCATTGTTCCTATTTGGTTCACAACCGGACTGCAACGCATGCTTTCCTTACCAATTGTACTAGGTTTTGCATTGTTACGAACATACACTGCCATAGGTGGTGAAGTGAGCGCTTCATAGACACAAGCTCACGGGTTTTTTTTCCGAAATTCCCTACGTACCAATAGTAAAAACCTGAGACCCTTTTTCCCTGGAGTTCATTTAAGGCATAAGGAGTACGCATGACTGACGCTGCGTTGTCGCGCAACCACGACCAGTCGTGCGTGAGCTAAAAATACTGCGAAGGTCATCCAATCACTTACACAAGCTCGAGCTCGTGACCTCAAGATTACATGGCAGGTTTGTGATCCTCAAGGCCAAGAGTGGGCCTCAACTTCGCTTACCGGTTATTGTCTCGGTACTGAGGTTCAGGGGACCGCGTAATCATATTACATGTCTGCAAAACAAGGTCGGGCCCGGAGGAGCGAAAACCAGGGAATGCGGATGCAAGAATCATTCCACTGCCCTTGAGCTCCATCACGTTAAACTCGGTTTTTACTCACTAATGAGGGCATTTCTTTCAGATCTGTGTTCACAATTACGTCTCTTTTAATTCCCCTTCACCAGTCACTTTTTGATCCCTCCTGAGCAGTGTGTCACAGACGCGCACTCATCAAAGGTGTAAAGACATGAACTGTTCGACACTAATGACCCGGGTGTCTCACCTCACCTGCGCAAGTCCCAAGCCTCCCGTCATAGAATATAAACCACATGACCCTGCTATTGTTCGCTCAATTGCCTTGTCTCCCGTGCACAGTGCTCCCGTGGTGATACGGCTCAGGGGCACATGGCTGCGTATCGTTCTCCGCTCTCGGTGGCCATGTGCGTAATCCATACAGTGGAAGCGGTGCTCCGGAATGGTCCACAGTGCTTTCAATCCATAGCATGTGTCCTGTAACCGATCTCAGGTACTTGTGAGGGTTGTTAATGACGTATCACAGTCCTGCAGCAAAGTCCTATACCTTGATAGTGTATTCAGATATCCAAATCTGCTCGAACTACTTTTGTTCACCCGGTCCTCAGACGTATCGTACCAGACCCTCCAGCATTCCAGTTCGCTTCCCCCCTTCATCGTCGCTCTCCCAACTATCTCAACCAACTCTATACTTTGGTCCCATTTTTTTGATAATTGGATCTAAAACAACATGCATCGGCCCATCATAGCATAACTTCAGTTTCCATCTGTCGTAACTGGTGACTCATCAGCACTTTCCTCAGCGATCATCATTTTCGGCATCTAAAATAATCTCGATTACTTCCAACTTGCTCACAAATGTCCTCTTTCGATGATTCAGTATTTCTCTGGAGATTCAGCTTGATACAACGCACTCTGACGTCTTCTATGTGTTACGGACTGTAGTTATCATAGCTTCACATTTCGTCGGCTACGTAGGCCTCACCGTTCACTCGACTGGAAGTCTGGCTTCCTTGATTCAAAAGTTCTGCTTCAGTTGACCTTACTTATTTGCTACAGTTCTTACCGGTGAATGTTGTGTTGGAGAAACCCATTTTCCGTTCTTCTTATCTCAGTTTCCTATATCATATTCTGGCAGTAGGAGAACTACTAGACCAATTCACTTTGATAATGGGACTTAAACAGAGAGGCTCCGTTTGGATTGTTAGCTCCTAACTCCGTGTTTTACCCCCCCCTGTCTATCTAACTACCTCATGTTTAACTGAAGGTCTACGAATTACCTGCTGATAGACTTGATGTCGAATAACTATTTGATACATGCTCTGTTATCAGAGGACACTTTTTGGCACTGGTATCTGCACTGTTCCTCTCGGGTAACCAGATCAGTTCGTGGATTACCACTATCTGCTTATTGAGGTGTGGAACTGGTGTTTGCATTCAACCATTCCATATAGTAAAGGTAATCATATTTATATTTCTCGACATTTAAAGAAGATGTGCCCACGGGGGACAGCTAATGATTTACGGAAGTCCACATTTGATACTATGAGGAATAATTTACAAACTACCAGCGGTTTAGGTGACACACTGTATGATAAGAGCAGGCGGTTAGTGGCAATTGTATTGGCTGCCACTTTCCCATAGCACATTCGATGCTTCTTATCAAGATGATAGCTCCCTGATGTTCAGAGCACACCCCATTGACATCACTATATTGGAATAGCTAACGAGCCATTCAAATCCAAGGCATGGGAACTTGTATCACATTGGGAAAAGGAACTAATAATGAGAAATAACGAAGAACTTCAATATTTTTACTTTCACACACCATTTTATACTTTTTGGTTACTAATTCATACTTTTGTAATTGGAAATTTAAGCACATTTGCGAACAATGCTTCCACTACAACCATTTTTGCGTCATTGTTTCTAATGTTGGGTCCCGACCGGGAAGAGGTACAACGCCAGTGATGGCTAGGCATGATGTCAGCGATTTCATGCTTTGCCACACAGTTGTCGCTTGACATTCACACAGCTTTTTCTACAGTGGTCCTGAAAGCTCAAATAGGCCGCGGCGTGGTAAATGCTCGTTATGCATATGTAAGTCATGGCCAAACCATCTCATTTGGCGCATCAGAGGCTAGCAGAAGGGATGACTCGTCGTGCCCAAGATGAGGTGTCTGACATCATCATTAGCCACTTTGTGTCGCCACATACACGGCGGTCTCCCGCAAACAGCCAGTATCAAAGATCGAAAATCCACGCATGTCATTTATACGGAGCGGCCAGGATTCGCATCCGTACAACCGTGCTACACGAGCACTGGCATTGTGGACTCTGTACTTTAGCGCGAGCGAAATGTCGCTACAACTCCACAAACGACTCAAGTTGGCAAAAGCAGATGAAGTAAAGATACCTTCAATATCTCGGAATATGCTTGGAACCGGCTGGGATCTCATGATTTCAGAAGATTTTGGATACACATAGGTTTTCGTAGGATTTTACTATGGCAACGTTTTACCCTTGAGGCAACAGCTTCTACAAGCCAGGTGAATCGGTACGCAGTTGGCTTAGCTTTTTATGGGAAAGTAAGGTGAAGATTACGAGAAATAACATGAACATTTGGATAAAGTGTTGCAGGTCAGTAGGTCAAGTGGCCATTCTAGTGAAACAACAAGCATCGAGCGTTTCTTATTAATGCACGTCACCGGTCGTCCACATGTGAGGCATTCCTTTCTTACAGCTGCTGATTCCCGCTCCGACCTGAGCTCGTCCGCCGACACCTTTTCTGACTGACCGGGTTAACAAAGCCCGCCATGCGTTCGATAACTCCACCCCGTCCGTTCTGTTCACACAGTTATTAGCTTAAGTAATCTCGATCGCCTCAGCAATCAACCTTTGGCTTGTTGCTGCTAATCCCCTCTTAAGGATCTCGACAATGTCCCAACCAATCTCGTATCCTGCGTCTAGCGCATGTACGGCCACTGCAAGGCCCTGTATTCAGGCTCATTTCTCAGCGGACGTGAAACGAACCTCTGGTGTTCTGCTATCCTCGTGCGTAGCTCTCTCGCTGTTTGACCTGCATACACGTGTAGGATTCTCCATGCCCTGTGTTCAACTCCGCCATCCGCCAACCATCGAGTGTGGACTACTCCGAGCGCAACTATCGCCCCCCTCCCCAATTATCTTCTCCATTGCCACCGCAACTACCACCCCCCAAGTACCTTCGCCACTACTACCGCAACTATCACCTCAATTATCTGTCACTACCACCGCAACTATCACCTCAATTATCTGTGTCCTTACCACGGCAACAATCACCCCAATTATTCTCGCACTGAGCATGAGCAATGTACTTATCATCCCACACACTCACATTTCACGCATCCGGCCTTCATCCGGTCTGTGTTTGACCAATCGCATTGACTTCACTTGTCCCATATAACCAGTGTTCTGTATTCTGTATCGCATTGACGATCTGAACCGTTTCTTGTTGTTCTCGGACCGAATTGTATCTCTTTGAAACTGCGTTGAGTGGAAGCGCTACTATTGAGGTTTGTAATATTATTGCTTCCTGATTGTTCGTTAATAGTACCGTCATCTTGTCCAGTGTTCTTGTTCTTCGACTGGCTGGATACGCGTTGGCTCAAGGCCCTTCAAAGCGAATTGTCGCTTACAACACGTGTTCGCAGTCTTTGCGATTGATTTTATAAACATAATTTGTCGTCCTATCTCCTGGAAGCTGATCCTACAAATACACAAGTGCTGAATAGAGCGTTTGACCCTTTCGAGAAACCACTCCTATTTTCCTGTTTAGTACTCGTCTGATTGCTTCTAACGTTCCCTTTTTACAGGGGAACCCCACCGTCTCAATCCACTCGGTTGTGCGTCGCGGAGGTGGATTTAGAGCTCTCTGCAACTGGTGTTTCACTAAGCGCCTCGGATATTCATTGTCTACTGTTTTGCTCATCGTCTCCTTACGAGCGGCCTTCCTGTCCTCCTCCTCTGTACACAGCGTATGGGCTCTGTGAAACAGAGCGGATGCGATAGCGGCATAGACTTGTTTTGGATGACCCGAACTGTAATGAAGCACTCCGTCCGTATCTGTCGGCTTGCGATATATCGTCGTCTTTAACCGTCCATCGTTCCTATGAACTAGGCAATCGAGGAATGGCAGTGTGCCACTGCAAGATTCCAGTTCCATAGTAAAGTTTACGTTCCTATTAATGGAGTTCAGATGGTTTAGAAACGCATCCTTCATATCTCGCTTTATAACCACAAATGTATCATTCACGTAAGACCACTAAATCTTTGGCGAACTACTAGAGTTTGTCAGCGCCTTTCTCTCAAAGTCTTCCATATACAGATTTTCCAATACGGGGGATATTGGTGACCCCATGGCAACTCCCTGTTTCTGAGAGTACAGTCTTGACTGGAAAGTGAAATATGACATGTTAAGACATACTTTAATTCCATGCATTATCTGGTCTACCGTGAGTTTCGTTCGCTTCTCCAGACTATTGTCCTCAGTAAGACAACACTGTGCTATACCCAATGCGTCATTTTTCGGCACATTAGTGAATAGGGAGCTAAAGTCGAAAATAACCATTATTTCGTCTGCCGCGATGACCGGCCCTGCTACCTTTCGCGCGAACCTCTGTTTTACACTTATTCATTATGGACGATACGGCTTTTTTCTCACTTGCTTCGTAGGGCCCTGATGCTAAATGCTGTTTTATATTTTCCACATAATTCGATTTGTTTATTATCACTACGGTCTTGCCTTTATCGGCTTTCGTGATGATGATGATGATGGTGGGGTCTTCTGTTAAGGCCTTTAATGCGGCTTGCTCCGCTGGTGTAAGCTTTGGCTCCCCAGGCTTCTGAAATTTGATGATCTCTACCATCTGTGCACGAATATTCAGCACTTGCGTGTTTGAAGGATCAGCTTCCAGGAAATAAGACGACAAATTATGTTTATAAAATCAATTGCAAAGACTGCGAACACGTGTATACAGGTCAAACAGCGAGAGAGCTACGCACGAGGATAGCAGAACACCAGAGGTTCGTTTCACGTCCGCTGAGAAATGAGCCTGAATACAGGGCCTTGCAGTGGCCGTACATGCGCTAGACGCAGGACACGAGATTGGTTGGGACATTGTCGAGATCCTTAAGAGGGGATTAGCAGCAACAAGCCAAAGGTTGATTGCTGAGGCGATCGAGATTACTTAAGCTAATAACTGTGTGAACAGAACGGACGGGGTGGAGTTATCGAACGCATGGCGGGCTTTGTTAACCCGGTCAGTCAGAAAAGGTGTCGGCGGACGAGCTCAGGTCGGAGCGGGAATCAGCAGCTGTAAGAAAGGAATGCCTCACATGTGGACGACCGGTGACGTGCATTAATAAGAAACGCTCGATGCTTGTTGTTTCACTAGAATGGCCACTTGACCTACTGACCTGCAACACTTTATCCAAAGGTTCATGTTATTTCTCACAATCTGCACTTTACTTTACCGTAAAAAGCTAAGCCAACTGTGTACCGATTCACCTGGCTTGTAGAAGCTTTTGCCTCAAGAGCGAAACGTTGCCATAATAATTCCCTTCAGAAACGTATTTGTATTCGGAACTTTCTGGAAGTCTACCTTCTCTCTCCAGATGTCCTCGGCGGAAATGCAGCTCCGTATATTGACAAAGTTGTTCCCCTATTCGAACTTTCTAAGTTTAGGTGAGTGAGGTATGATTGCGAGTCTTGTAACAGCACTCTACACTGGGGGCGATAGGGTAACGCACATTCCACCGGTGGGTCAAGGATCACTTGCATACCAGGAAAGTCGTCACCGAGCGAAGCGTTTGCATCAGTCAGTTGCGCGACCACTTGGAAAAATCTCAAGGTCGAAACTGCAAACTTTTGTAACGTTGAAGATGAACAGTGACAAACACATTTTTGTCCCGCACCACTGTTGATAAGGACGAGCGCAGAAACCTCTCCGTAGGCTCTCACTGCCTGTGATATGAAGGTTTATTCCCGAAGTATACCGACGTACTTTTAGTGAAAACAATCCTCTATCAAGCATCACCATAAAACGAGTCGGTCTACTGAGTTGAATCTAGCCTGAATGTCCAAAAAGGCGTCAATGGTGGTGACTTTCGTTAATCTGATCAAGCGTGAACATTTGATCCACACATCCCTGACCGGAACAAAAATCAGCCTGCTCCTCCCAGTAGCGTCCCACGTTTTGGAGATAGAGTGCGTAGCATAATTGGCGCTAGTATTTTGGAGGCAAGCGATATCACACTGATCCGTCTGCGATTGGTGCGTTAACTGCAAGATCTAATTATAGAGAGTGCATCTGAACGGCAGGTTTTGTTTATTGTGTAGTGAAATCGCACCAAAGATTACACTGAAATATTGACAAATGATTGGATCAACAATGAAATTAAAAACACGATTTAATACGCGCGTGGAGCAACATAATATATTGCCGAGCATGATATTGGGGAATGGCTGAACCACGGTGATGCGTTATAACTAGTGAATAAGGTTAGTGTTAAAGGGGTAAGCACTCCTTTGCTAGCAGCCGGAACGGTACTACAGACTCTACAGTACTAATCTCTTGCATTGCTCTTCGTATGACATACGAAGTGATAGTTACACGTTGAACTCGTCACGAGTGATTGGATAATAGGCAATTGGCCATACCCTGACATTTTAGTCTTATGCTGGAAGGAAAGCGATTTCCAACCCAATGGAAATGGGGCTAATTGGTGATACTTGGCGTCTTAATGCTCGTAACTTTCAACTCCAGTGAAAATTGTGATCAGAGGAGAATAACCGCATGTGAAAAAGGCAATTCGGGTGGAAATACAAAAGAAGGGAAATGAAGTGTGTTGCTTCGTAACTCTACGCAGCTGTGAACCTTGTCGTATGCCCTCATGTTGCTCGTTAACAGGGTTACGAGAATGTGGCATTAGGTACCCTGTCTTTCGCTCCATGAGAGAGTATGTCCATTGGCCCTTTAATCCTTTTCGCTTGAAAACTTCGAAGCCCTTTAAGAGTCTGGATAGATACCACGTGAGGCTTGAGATGGGTTTGGCAACTTTCTCTGTCTATTGACAAACCCGCACAGTTTGTGACGGTTATGCCGAAATCCTGTTGATATGGGGATCGCTGATCCATGGTGCCACGGTCACCAAGCTTTAGCTGCAGTAGGTGAAACTAGGAATCACCTAAGGAATAACATCTAGTCGCAAACATGAACATATTCACTGCATACATTCAGCGTAAACGCATTGCACACCAACGTGACTCGGTCCGTACGTTATCTCCTTCCGTTTGGTCTTTATTCCTCAGTTCTGCTTTCACACTCCGTATGCTCAACTCCTTTTCCGTCGGTCTTATTTGTTCCCGCATTCCTATTAGTTGTCTTGGTGTGGTTTGCCATGACGTACCTACTCACAACCATTCAGCACTGCTATCGCGATTCACACTATGAACTAGGCATGCAAAACCGCATCACTCGGTGTTCCCGTTTGCTTTCATGCACCAAACGGATGGCGATAGCGAATTCATGGTTACCTGCAGCTGTCAGACCAATCGGCCTGATTTCTACCTTACGTTTACTGTTGCTCGCAGCAATACTTCCTGTACCTTTAAATTGGTCGTTGCCTTTCCATTAGAACATCGTTTTTAAATAAATAAAGGGTCTTTTCCTCGACGGTACGAGACACAGTCCAACTGATTGGTTTGATCATTATGTACAATGGGATCGCATGGGACGGATAATATTTCTTCTAGTTCATTTTCCAGAGTAGTTCCCAAACTATTTGCGGCGCTGGTTGATCGGTTGCATCTTTCAAATAGGTGGATTGGTTGATAATAATAATAATAATAAATGTTCTAGTGCAGTAACACAACCAACCGTGGATTTGTCTCCAGAAAGCCTGCTTCCATGCAGGCTAGTCCCTCGAAAAGTTTCTCTCGCAATTCCATGTCTGTTCTGACCGCGTGCTGGTGCGGCTTTAAAACAGGCTTGCCATCAATTGTACTCATCTTTAGGGATTTTAAGTATATATATATATATATATATATATATATATATATATATATGGACATTTAGGCCATTTAACCCCTACCATCAATCGACATTTTTGAGCCAAGCACTTATCACCTCTCAGGGAGTATATGGTATCTTGCCTCGTATGGGTTCATCTATTAGTTTAAAAGATAAAACTCGTCACCTCAAGAGATCGATCTTCTCTACTGCGGCTGTAACAGTTTCCAATCAACATTTTAAACCTTTCTTCGGTCGCACTATTTCAAGGTCACTAGCGCTGTACTGCGTTGATTTTTTTTAACAAAAAGCTGCTTGACAAACTGCAGTGCTACGCAAAAAATTATCAAAAGGGGTTTTCATCACTAGAGAAAGTGAAATCATCGTCCCGGTTGAGATAAACTGCTGGGCTTCCACAGCGTGTACTTTTAACAAGAAGCGCAAATACCGCCACTAATTTACCTCATCAACAGCAATTATTATCGCCTGCATCGCGCCTACGAAAACGCGTTTATTTGTGGGGGACACTCAATGCCGTTTTTTCCAATTCACATTTTTAACGTAATAGTTATTGTTTAGATGTTGAAAACGCCCCCCCCCCAGGCTCCGGTGGATATATAGTCCATACGGACTTGACTATTCAGTGCCGCTGTTTCCAACAAACACATCGCTTTTTATTGTTGCTTTCCTCCCGTGGAATACTTTTGTAACCCGTGCAGTTTCAAAAGTACGATTCCTGTGCTGACCCACTTGGTGTTTAGTCGGGGTCTCTTTCCTTTTGTTTCGAGCGTTTATCCTCTGGTGTTCAATCTTTTTTATCTTTCTGATCTTCTATTAACATTTCTGCTCTTATTTGATGACCCTAAAACCCTCTTTGATAAAACAAGTGAACACTTCCTGTCATGATCTTTGATACATCAAGATATTTGGATATTTTCTTCCTTTGCTTTCTTCTGCAATTCTTTTGTGTCCATTGACAGTATCCTTAAGGTTCACAGACCTGAGTTGTAATCTGATGGCTTGCGTTCCATCCTGCTTAGGGACCGGGCGACCCTCGCATTCTCTTTAGCCCACGTGCAATTAGTGGTGGTTGCGCTGCAGCAAAACGTCAGTACTGCGTGCCGGCGTATTGCTAATGCCTTTCTTTCTTCCTTTATGGTTTAACTAATTCCATTCCTCCTAATCATCTACAGCGTATTGTCTCCTTGCATCTAGGTTATTGGATACCTCGAAACTGGTGGTCGTTTACCCTGCCCCGCGAGTTGCCCACCTGCGGTTTACGAACTGATGCATTCTTGTTGGAATGCACAACGCAACGAACGACCATCCTTCAATGTTCTACGTCTGCGTCTTCAAGAAATTGTGTCACAATTGGCCCATCCGGTTTGATATTTTTCAGCAACGCCCCATGCCTTTGCAATCTGCCTCACTGCTTCTCACATTCCATGTATTTCGTTTCATTTCTTCCTATCTCCCGCCAACTGTGGCTGTCTCATCATATCAGAATCGAGATTTTCGCTACCTCCAATTGTGGATTTTTTTCTATTTCTCGTGTCTCCGCCATTCGCACTATTTTATCTCATTTCGCTGCTACTTTATTCCCACGTGCTCCCGGCTGCTGTTGTCGTAAAACGACATGCCTGCGGCCGCCGCTACCAACATCACCTATTGCTCATTCCAACTGCTTTCTCACACGCACCCAACCACGTGTACATCAGATGCATTTTTCATTATGTGCAACCGTTTTGTTGGAATTCCTAACAAGTTCTCATGCGCACTGCTTATGATGAGGGTCCCTACACTACAAGAATCCGTTCCGATTATTATTCGTCTGTTGCCAAATGAAATCTTGCATGAAACTGGCCAGGATTCTCGCACATCCGGTATTCCTGCGTTTAGTCAGCTGAATTATGGACATATATATATAACCGTTTTTCAAGTCAAACCGTACACAGTTCATACATTTTGCAGATCATTAATAATCTACTTGCAAGAATGAAATATGAACGCTGAGAATAATCGGTATAGCATGTAATGCGAGGTGTACTACGGCTGGTAAGATGAGCCCAGAATCCTCCTTCTATCGCTGTGCATGTGGATTCAGGCGTTGTCTTCAATCAGCTATGTACCCTGTGGCATATACGCGCCACAAGCTCCTCGACGAACATCGAGTACTTTGCACTATTTCAGGTCCCATCGTTGATTATCTTTGTACTAAATATGCCACGGTTATTCACTACCAAAATTCATATAAATAAATGGATTTATTTTCGAGAGGTTCGAGGCACGTCTCGCTAGGCAAGATCACCATGTGGTCTAACTGTGGGCAATATTACGTTTACTCCCGCCCCTCTTTTTGAGTGAGGATCCGTCGCAGATGATGGTCGAACTTGTTCTCGGGAATACACCCTGCCTATAGACTTGCAGCTGTACATATCCACGCACACACACACTGCACCAAGGTCGATGGAGAGACGGAGGACAACTAAGTGAAGGTGAAGGACACTAACGTTCAATAGGAGGGCTTGCATTAGTGACCACTGCTTGCCATACTCGGATTGCATTAGCTTGCTCGCAGTGTGATCTGAACACGGTCCAGTCACCTTACTCCCTATTTTGGTTTCCGCTGACCGTACGGATAACCTGTTGTCATTCGCAATCTGGATCGGCCGACTTCCCAGATCAGAAAACAAATGTTTCAAGCAAAAAGTCTATTGACCACCCGATAAGCAGTATGTACGAGCAAATAATACATAAATAACTCTTTTATTTCTTGATGAAGCGCGAGACTATTCTCACATAGGGAAAAATCAAAATATTTACCGCTTTTTTCACTTAGTCCCCTCCACATATTAGATGGAAGTATACATTATGTTATATCCTTGTCAGTTTCAAACATGCACGTTGTTCAGGGTGAAGGGCAGAAGATTGTGCTGGAGTTATCTCCTCCGTTAACGGATGTCCGGTCGATCTGGACCAGCGCAGTCTGACCAGAAGGCGGAAAGGGAGTTTCGTGGATGAGCCATTCTTTCAAACTTTCGCTGACGTGCAATCCAACTTCATCGATTGATTGAAACACCTACAGAAGTCCCAGTTTGTAGTGGACTCATGGAGAAAATAAAATAAACAATAGGATCAAGGTAGGTAAGGAACGGCTATAAAATGATTGCCAGTAGAAATAAATAAAGCTTAGATATCTGGCAACGAACTATACAAATAAATAAACAGTTTGCACGTAATAAATAAAGTTTGGCAACCGTTCTTGTAATTTCCCCAGTAGTTGTTTTCAGACATCTAAAAATGCGGACTCATGCCGGGAGCCTTACCCTGTGAGAAAAGTACTTCAGAATGAAACAGAGATTCTAATAGCAACAGACTCTGACGCTAACTACTATGAGAACGAAAAGTGTCTCGTTTGGTAGATGACAGCAGCTATAGTGGGAAAAACGACCTAGATCATGGCAACATAATTTCTAAATTTTCAAACCGTCTAAAAGGTCTGGTATAGCACATTAATATCTGTGGTCATGAGTTGTAGTGGGAAGGTCTATGATCGCTATACTGCGGATTATTACGGCATACAGTAAGGTTTGTGTACATCAGTAGCCACAACCTCTGTGGTTATTCTGAACGATGGTAACGCCAGGGTAAAGTACGAATGGTAGTATAAGCGTGGAAGAGTAAGTCAGTGAACACATAGGAACTGGGTGTCCACCCATCACTGATCCTGAGATTTAACAAGCTCATGGTGGGAAATGCAGTCAGTTAAAAGAGAATTTCTTGGAGATGACCAAAATAGAGTGTGGAGGCGCTCGATAATCCTGGAAGTCCGACTACCCGAGATGACAGGGGCCGTTCTGACACACGGTTAACTTTCGGGCCAGGTCAAATGAATGTGAAATATTGAAGAGCAAGATGATAATAATGTACGGAAAGCATCTGGCTTCTCATTCATTGACATTGGCGGATGGCGAGCATTCAAGTCTGATAAAAGTTAAGAGATGGTACGGACCAAGATGACATGGAGTGACAAAAACCTGGGTCAAATCTGTTGTTTCATCTGAGTAATAGTTAATCAACTAGCTGGAATATTATGATATGGACTACAGGATCGAATCTCTTTTTCAAAGCAAGACAAGGCAAAGAAGGAAATCAGATGAACAGTAACCAGTGCAGGACGGTTAGGAGAACCAGTGAAACGAAGTTAACGGAAACCATCTAACGCTAGGCAACCCGGAAGCCCAAGTGTGGCAAATAAAACATTGAAAATAAAAATGTAAAATAAAAAGGACAGATAAGCAGGATCAGAAGTTGATGTACAAGGTGAGATCTAAGCCGAGCAGCATTTGGAATGCGGTAGATGTGAGGCTCGACCTTTAAACTTCTATGGGGCCTCTCATAAATATCGTCTAGAGATGTAGATTCGCCCAGTATACGTAATACCTCCGCTAGGGTGAGGTGGTTGAATACTTGATCCCGAAATATATGCTTAGTGTTATTGCACTATAGGGATTCCGGCAGCGTATTCCATAACGTTGTATACCTGATGAGAAAGAATTTGACGTGCAAACGTTTACGCACTCTAGGGACGCAAAAACTGGATGACATATTTCTAGTTGGATATTGATGGAAAGTGCCAAACTGGACAGTACCTGGCTCCCCAGAACTGGTATGCACTAAATCATACAGGAAGATGAGGTGAATCTTAATTCTTCCCAATCAAAGTGGTTCTAACTTCAGCAGTTTACACCGTTGTTGATAATTCAAGGATCCGAATCCTAGTAACCGTTTGGTAAAAGAACGTTATACTTTTCCAAAATTGGTTTTGTGGTACATTTTTAAATTTGTGAATACTAATGGGCAATATTCCAAGCCTGGACGCGTATATGCTTTATACATAGATATCCTAGAGTCTTTCAAACGTGAAGTATTGTATATACGTGCTATGAGAAATCTCGTTTCGGCGGTAACTTGATATACCTGTTTGGAGAAATTGAAAGGGCTTCAGTAGCGAACTCCGAAGTCACGAATCGTTGTGCAGCGGGTAATTGGTTTGTCGTCTAACGTCAGTATGTCATTAATAAGGTTGCACCTGAAGAATAGGGTTTTGTATTTGCCAACAGCGAATATAATTTTCCACTCTCGGCACCACCGCTGAAGGGCGAAGTGCTCCATCTGTATCGTTTGAGTACCGTCAGCTTCATTTAGCTAACAAAAATAAACACAACTTTGATATCATCCGCGAAAAGAAAGGGTCTGTCATGTCGAAAGATTCGGAAAATGTCACTTAAGTATAGTAGGAATATCAGTGGTCCTAAAACGCTTTCCTGTATGACACCGCTGGTACAGGTGAAGTTACGCTGTTTCTTACTCTGACACATTGGGTGCGTGTAGATATGAAAGATGACAGCCACGCTAGTAATCGGTTAGCAAACCCCTAAGCGGTTAACTTTGTTAAAGTTCTGCATGGGGTACGCGCTCGAATGCTCTTTCCATGTCTAAGCAGAGAATAACCAACGACTGCCCGGAGACATTCGACTTGGTTACGTAGTCCAGCAATTCAAATTGACAAGTTTGACATGAACGACCACGGATGAATCCATGTTGCGATCTGTCGATCAAATTTTGTGAATTAAGAAACTCCATGACTCTTTCTTTGATTCTTCTTTCCACAATACGGATCAATATGGAAGTATGGCTAATGGGCGGTAATTTGACAACTCGAGACGTGCTCAACCTTTGTGTCGAGGTAGGACGATGGCCCGCTTCCACCTAGCAAGGTATACACCAGTCTTAATTGACAAGATGAATACGTTTAGCAGAAACAGGGGAATATCGGGCCTGGCGAGTTTAAGCAACCATGGTGGTATGCTGTCAGGTCCAGAGTGAAAAGAATGCCTTAGGGCGGCTATTTGCCTGTTAATACTATACAGGTTGAACTCAACTGTATCTATTGTTTCACTGGTGAGTAGAGGCAATCTTTCTTGTGCAACACATGCGCCTGTATTAAACGAGGAGGAGAAATGTTTATTAAATATCTCCCAGTGCTCATCGTGGTCGCTAGTGAGACTGCAGTTTAAAGAGGCAGTGTTTATAGGTTGATGACGTTGTGTTTCGTATCTAACTCGTGTTGTGCGATGTAACATATGTTTGCAGCTGGGAACTGCTAGCGCTTGTGCCTCTTGTGCCATAGGCTTTCAAATCAGTCATGCAAGTCTTTGGGAATTTTATCCGTTTGTATGATCGCACATATATCATTCATTTTTGTAAACCTAGCCGAAAGTTCCTGGACTTCATAAACTACTAGGTGCTTGATAACGTACTAGTTGATTCCTGAAATAATGCGCTCCGTGACAAACTTCAAACTTGATCATCTTCAGTGTGAAACGTTCTCATTGGTCGGCCGATAGGCTTCAGCATGCTTCAGGTTCAAATTGTTGCGAAGGCGGGAGGCAGCTTCGAAGGCTGCTATGGACAGGCTGCCTTAACACCCACTTGGCCATCCAAGACACGTGTTCCATACGAAAGTGATCATCCTGTTGGTGGTACTCGTGTTGATGAACTTGATGCGGTAGCAGTAAGTCTGTGCTGCAATTCAGTATAGCGTAGGAATGGTGACGCAGCAGAACTGCACGAGTTACTCCCTCAGTATGACAGTGAACTTGAGAAGGGCAGAAGCAGTAAAACACTATCAACTAAGTTGTTGATGATCAACATTAACCGTACACAGTTTGGTTTGAAAAACGTCCCGTTTGGTTCGAAAAACATTCCGTTTAAAATAAAACTGCTATTTGCGACTTTAGCCTCTGCTTGAGTAGCTGTTGCGTACATCCAGTCATGGTTCCCGATGACACAGTGTCTGTTAACAGACTGTGA